TTAACGCACCAGGTTTATTAAAGGACAATGCTTTCTCCGGGAGAATTAGCAAAGTGCTTCAAATATTTAAAGAGTGTTTGTGTAAAATTGATTTATCACTGTATGTAATTCTGGAAGATAAAAACAGGTCTCAGTGGAAAGATGTTACAGCCAAACAGAAAACTAACAAGTTGAGTCTCTTTCTAAATATAAAAATAATTGCCCTGTCTGGTAGTGAGCTCTCTGTGATTGGATATGTTCAAACAAATCTGAAAAAAAAAAAAATGTCTTAGCAGGATGAATGAGACTGCCAATGTTGGTTAGGGAAGAGGGGTAAGAAAATCAACTTCAATCCTAAGGAGTCTATGACTTTGTCATAAGTACTACATGAGCAGTTTTCCCATAAATAAGATACACAGCTAGATTCATGCCTGCAGCAAAGCAGGCTGGCCAAGGATGAACTTACCAAGGAAGAAGACAGAAAATGTCCTCATGCCTAGATCATACCACAGGGCGGTTCTGTCCTAGATCTGGAGAAATGTCTGGGCCACAATGTCTGAGACTTTAGGAATGTGAACTCTATTATTTCTGAATTTTGCTTCGGCCTCTTGGAGTAAAGTAAAAAAGAAAGATATGGGCAGGCAGGATAAAAAATTTACTGAACCAGCTATGATAAAAGGTAGCAACACTTTTTGCAAAACTCTATTACTGTTGTACTAGTGTTGCCATCTCAGAAGTCTGTGAATCCCTATCTTTTAAAATGTTACTCACAGAATGATGTTAATATATGAACGTCATATATTTGGAGGCTTTTCTAGCACTCTAGGGTCATGCACCCCACTAACCATGGCACTTGGCTTCAAGAGGGCTGTTCCACCCATGTTGATGTTGGTACTCCTACATTTCTTTCTTTTTGGAACCTCCTATGTAAAATCAAAAGCAAGAAGAAAAAAAAAAAAAAAAAGCAGCCATGCAATTTACTAGTGTATATAAAAGCCAGGATCTGTTTAGTGACTGTATTCCCTACAATTCACCCAGCTGCTTTCTTTTTTTGAGAAGGCAGTGGTCAAAAATAACTTAAAGTTCACATCGACAGTGTTTTCCACAAAGTCATTTCACATGGTCCCAAACCACAAAATGCGCCTTGACTCCGGCAAATGCATCACCCGCCACACGCACCCAAGATTAAAGAAAAGAGATGTGCTCAAGAATGCAAACCACGCCAGCACTTGCTTCATCGTCTCACTGAGGTTAACTTGGAACGAAACGTGAAATAAGCTGGTGGAAACTTACACAGAGCTAGGTAGGGCTTGGATGCAGTTTGTCCCCAAGCCTTCATGTGTTCCAGGGTGGTGCTATGAAGAGGTAGTGGAGCCATTAAAGAGTGGGCTTAATACAAGGTCATGAGGTCACAGGGGTGCTCTCCTCAGAAGAGTAAGGTAGTTGTCATAAGAACAAGGCCAGTTACCACTACAGAGGGTTTTATGAAAAAAAAAAAAAAAAAAAAGAGGACTACCCGGTTTCTGATTCCTGTCTTGCCATATGCTATTGCCATCTCACACACAGGCCCACCATGATACCATCTGCCATGATGTGACACAGCCAGGGAGGCCCCTGCTGGAGCCAGTCCTGCTCTCAGCACATTCAGCCTTCGGGTATTTCCTTTCAGTAACCCAACATGGGCTCCTACAGAGTCTCCGAGTGTATCCCACAAAATGCTATTAAATCAGTCCGTCATTAAGTAAGAAAAGGAAAATAGTAATTTTAAAGAAGAGAAAGCAGCAGCCACCATCCTGACCATGTGATCACAGTCTACACCTTCCATAATGAGGCAAGCCGACACCCTGTGCCGTCCACAGAACATGGAGAGAGGACAGCCCTTCTCTAGTGTTCTTGCTGGAAATGTTCTTACCAAATGCAGATCTAAGCAGGAGAAAACAGAAAACCCAACCTGAAACATAGTCACCAAAGTGACTGGCCTCATGCTTTTTGAGATATTTCTAAGTCTTTAAAGAAAAAGAGAATTCTGAAAGAAAAATGAGAAAGTAAACAGCACTGATAACTACCTGTGATCTGGGCCACAAAAGACACTACTAAAAACTGTAAAAAGCCAACAGATTAACCCCAATACTGAATTCAGTCAGTATCCAGATTTTTACTGTTGCAGTTCTGATTATGGAGCAGAATGACTGTCTGTAATGAACGTATAGTAAAGCATTTATAATTGAAAAGCATTATGCCTATAATTTGCTCCCAAATGTTGAGAAAACATACACAGGTATGAGTGTGCGTGAGCATGTGTGTGTAGACAAATACAAAAAGGAAGATCAACTAAGTGAGGCAAAATGTAGAGCATTAATATTTGAGGAATCTGGGAAAAGTATTCAGGAATTCTATACCACATTTTGCAACTTTTCTGTAAATAAGGGTATTTTTGAAAGAAAAACTAAGCTAGGTAAGGAGGACACTAGTAAGGGAGAATGCAGGACATCCTGTCTTCTCTGCCACTCTTCCTAGCACTGAGAAGTACCCTGATGTCTTGAGTGTCCCTGAAAGCTGTGGTGGGAGACCCCAACGGAGACCCTGTAGAGAACCACTATGCCCATGAGTGTCCTAGCACAGGGCTTGGAAGACACTTGGGGCTCAAGAAATGGCCAGTGAATCAATGGACTACAAGAAGTATATGAAAGAAACTGGGCAAAGCCCATTTGTGACATCCACCTGAAGATAGGCTGTGGCCTTGCTCTGGAAGTTGGCTGAGTGAAACAGTGGGCACTGGATGGCAGGGACAGTATGGCCCAGCACAGACACGTTTGTCACTCATGGGGAATGGAGCAAGTACATCTGTGATGGCCTAAAAGGGATCTGTGCCTCAGGGCTGAGGAAAGAAGGGTGTATATTCCAGGTATTGTGTGTGCTAGTGTCCAAGGTCAAGGTCCCCTTGGCTCAGAAAGGAGCCATTTCAGGCCCTGAGATAAGAAGACAAGAAAATCAAGGTTCCCAAGCTAACAGTTAAGAATTCAAATAGCTCCATATTCAATCAATCCTTCATCAGGAAAAGGACTCTTTATGTTCTGCTCTTACTTCCCAAGCGACACGCAACTTTGTTTTACAAATTCACATTCACTTTGCACATGTGGTTGTAAGTTGAAATCATCTTAATTACCAAAGCTCAAGACAGTTAACAGATGAAAAACGTGGCTTTGCTTTGAAACTGTAACTAATTCAAGATTGTCCCACCACATAACTTTTCCAGAAAAGCTAAATTCTGAATGTGGGTGAAGGGAGAAAAAAAAAATATGATCTACAAGCCATTGAAGTGGAGGTATTAGGAGATGATCCCTAACACCTATAGAAAATGAGGATTAAAAAAAGTATGCTTTTTCTGACCATCCAAATACAATTTCACAATAATCAACACTGTGTCACAATATTTCACAGAAAAATTAAATAAGTAAAGAATGGCAAGGAGGGCAGGACTCCTACATAGTAATTCAAATGAAGGACCCTAAGCAGTATAACTTTTGAGGAATTTCTAGCTGAGGCTGCTGTGCTGGTAGGGACTTGTGGCAAACTCAAATCATAATGAGGAAGGGGCAGAATATCCTAAGCAATAATCAATAAGAAATACAGCAGGAGCACACAGAGGAACAGGGCAAGCTGGCCCCATGGCTTCTTTCCCCTTCCCATATCTGAAAGACCAATTAGATCGGTCCATCACAAGTTAGTCCTTCATTCCAAGTCAGTCCTATGTCCATAACAAGATAGATACGTAATTCAATTTCAAATTCTTACTGTCTACTATTGTTGAAGGCAACTGAATTAGATAGAAATATTATAGGCAGTCAGACAGGGCTAAGCCTTCAAGGAGGAAGCAGGGAAGACAAGATATAGGATGCTCCTGCTGTGGGCCAGACCTAGAGACCAAAGATCGAACAAATGCTGACCTCCCTAAAGGTAAACATCCAGGATTGATCATCACCTTGAGGAAGCCAGGAAGAGTCACTAATCCAAACGCTACTGGCTGGCTACCATATAAACTTCTGTTCTATATTCGTGCCCACATGCTATGTGACTTGCTTCCCCATTTGATCCTGGACTTAATCAATGATACCTGAGCAATGGTGTTTGTAATCTCATTGGTTGACCATAGTGTTGTCCCACTCATGCCTACCTAAGCGAGGACCAATGTCCTCTATAAAAGTCCCTCGAAGAGATAGCTTCCTGGAAACAACTCACTCGGGGGCCCCCTTTCTGTCCTTCTCTTGGACAGCTTTCTTTCCCCTGCTAAATATTCTTTTCTTAACCTCTGTTTCTTCCTAAAATTCATTCTTTGGCTTTAGAGAACAAAAACTAGTCCCAAGTACCTTTCAGGTTGGGAGTTTCATTTCCCCTATATTACTATTATTACTATTATTAGTAGTTTGCCCCTAACTGCCTCAGGTTCCTATCTCTCATGTCACAGCTGTCCAGTCTTGCTTGAGCAGGGAGACCTATACCTGTCACAGACACTGGGCTCTCTAAGGGGTGTATAGTTGTGTACTGTCTGTGCACAGACTAAATGTAACAAAGGTACTGGTGCAGGAGTTGCCATCTACTCATCATGGGCTCCCCCATCCTTGCCATGGTCTTGTCCTGGGTTACCAATCAATGTAGTGTAGGGTCATATGGACTTCTAGTCAACCAAGGCCTGACTGAAGGTCTTAGAAGACATCCTTTCTACAGAGTTCATAAATCTGTGTGTAAGTAGGTTCTTCCTTTGGTCCTTCTCAATCTTTCAGTTCCCTGTCTCCTCCCATTTCTCCATAAGTAAGCTGCCCAAGGACTATCCCCAGGCAGCTGAGGCCACAGTGGCAGGCCAGTAAAAAAATCAAGCCACTGCCTATTTTTGTCTGAGGAAGAAGCATGCACACTGAACCTAAGGATAGTATGACAGCTTTAGACATCTGAGCATCATGTTGCTCATCACCAATGAAAAATGCAGCTTTGTTTTCTGGCCTCCACCAGCCGGTTCTTCTTACCTTTGGTTCCATGGAAATGAAACTGTGGGTTCCTCTGCTGGAGAGAACTGACCTTTTGATCGTCCTGCTGTGGTAGAAGTGGTAGTAGTCCTTCAGGGCTCCTATCTGCGAAGGCAAGGAGGGAGGGAAGGCACAAAAGAGAGACGTTAGTGTCTGAAAATAGACTGGTATTTTCCTGTTTTTCATTAAAATAAGAACACAAAAGAGGTCCATAAATTATGCAGGTATCTGCTGCGCTTAAATGTTACTTGAACCTTGGCGATCACTTTTCAAAAGAAGGACAGGAGATATGAACCCACTGTCCTTGAGGCAGTGACTGCGGAACTAAAGATTATAATGGGACAGCTTAGCCTCTCCCTGTCTCCCTTTTAATGTTTAATTTATATGCAGCATTTTAAGTAATTCTATATCAATCTATATCCAAATGTGGGAAACAGGAAAAATAAATCAAATTATTATCTGGCTATAAAAACACACTGTACTGTGTTTGTTTTGAAAAATGCGCATGGAAGGACCTTGTTAGATTATTTATATAGCTAATTTGAAACACATCCTATGCAGTTGATCATTCACAAAGATAACACTACTTAGTTTCCTGACTTTAATAGATGGTGTAAGTGTACAGCCCTTCTTTCCTTATTGCAAAAGGAAAAGTGGAGCGGCAATTTCTCCAACAAAACACATTCATCTATCAGCTGAGTTCTCCATGTATAAATCATTTGATCACTTTATCCTTTTCTTTAACAGTTGAGACATCTCATTTATGTTCCCTTTTCTCTTAGTTAAAAATAGGTCTGTTTCAGAGGGCTTTGAAAATAAATCCCAGTCCGCCTTGAAAAACTACATGAACAAAATCTCATAAAGAACCATATTCTCTCAGCTAATTATAAAATATGGATCACAGAATGAAAAGTGAAGCACACAATGAAAACAGGAGAGCTGGCCTCTGGCTTAACGCTCGCCAGAGCTAAGCAGCATGTGTACTAGGCCTGTTCCCTTTCCTATACAACTGGACTCTGGGACAGTTAACTTCTAAGACCAGCGATGCACTCCTCTTCCATTCTTTTGTTGTAGACAGCTGAATTAGATGGAAATATTATAGGCAGTCAGACAGGGCCAGGCCCTCAAGGAGACAAGATAGAAAACAAGGTGACTTTACAACTCGGAAGAGACAGACACTCCCATGTGCGCCACACCGCAAGACCAGGACAAAAGAAGAAACACAGCTACATACTTTCATAGGGATGGGCATTAGGGACTGATATTCTAAATAAGTATCAATCACCTTGAAAGAGCCCAAATGAGTCACTAGCCCAAACCCTAACAGGAAGAGACCCTGTTCCATATTCATTCTTGCTTGCCAAGTGACTGGCTTCCCCATTTGTTACTGGATTTAATTAATTTTACCTGAGCAATGGTGCCTGCAATCTCATTGTTTTGACCCACCTCGTGCCCACCTAAGTGAGTGCCCAAGTCTTCTCCACCACCTTAGACCCACCTCACTGCATGGTTTTCCTCTAATAAAGTCCCTGGAAGAGATAGCTTCCCAGGAACTAAACACTCGGGACCCCTGCCTGTCTCTCTCTCAGATGGGAGTTTTCTTTCCTTCAATAAATACACTCTACTCATAACCTCCATTTGTTCCTAAAATGCATTCTTAAGTTTTAGAGAACACGAACTAGTCCCAGGCACCTTTTAGGTTGGGAGATCAGTTTTTCTCCCCGTGTCATTTGGAAGTTTCCCTGTATTGCTTTGACACCAAGTCCGTACTTGCTTGGGCAACAAAAATGGCTAAGTCTCACACTCAGCTTTGCTATCTGAGTAACCATCATGAGGATGTTTTCCAATTGGTACAATTCAAAAGTTATGCTTTCCAAGGCAAATAAAATCGCTGGACCAGGTTCTGTGTGTGTGTGTGTGTGTGTGTGTGTGTGTGTGTGTGTCCCCAGATGGAAGGTTTATTTCTAATTCCCTCCTTTTCATCCCATTATCAACAATCATCTCACCCAATGCCTGTGTCACACTTAGGTGTCTTCTCTTCACTGGGACTTTAGGCCATGATTTAATGTTGCCTCCTCAGTAAAATCTGAAAGTCTGAAATCCTTCACTTTCGATTTGAGTGAAAAATACCCTGATCTACACAAAATCCTGGACTCTGAAAACAGATGGGGAATGAGGGCGGGAAATCCCATCTGAAACCCCTAATGCCTCATGATCCTGGATTCTGAGGCAGCTGAAATACATCCTGAAGGTGTATTCATATCCTATGTGGCCCCAGTAGTACAGACTCTGGAGCCCCAGTGTAATGCAGGATATAAGGAGCTAGAAAAAGGAAGCTTCATCCTGACTTAATTGATTTGGGACTTCTGGTAAATCATTTAGCCACTTTGGCTTTGGTTTCCTCAGTAGTAAAATGAGAAGGATACAAGAGACACAGTGGCCAAAAGGCAAGAACCAAAGGGTTGATGAAACACGATAGTGCATTGCTGGAGGTAGACAACAGAAGCTGTTGACACAAGACTTTAAAAAAGCTGGGTGTACTGGTGCATTCCTGTAATTCCAGCACTCTGGAAGGCTGAGGCAGGAAGAATGCAATTTTGAGCCCAACCTGAGCAATTTAGTAACCTAGTGGGCTGTAGGTCAAAAACAGAGGGTTTTGGTTCAGTGCAAAGGCCCTAGACTGAATCCCCAGTAGTGAAGGCAGAAAAAAGGACTGGTGAAAAGCATAAGGGATAACGTCAATAAACTACATCAAGCCTCTGACCCCGCCTTCCTACTTTTAAACAAGTATGCTATAAGGAGTCCCTACATAGGGACTCGATAAAAGCAAGACTGCAAACTAGCAACTGCTATTGATAGGTAATTAATCCTGTAAAAATGAAAAGTGATTATATTCTAAATGATATTAGTAGAAAAAAAATATGAAACATGAAACAAAGGGAAAATAAGGAAGAAGACATATTACACATGTGCATATAAGGGTTTTTTTTTTTAAAAATGTATTTAGTACATGGTCTACAGGCTCTCACTACACAGATGGGACTCACAGTGATCCTTCCTGTTTTTCAGCCTCCCTAGCACTGGGATTACAGACACATGCCACCACGCTTAGTCTCACTTGCCTTTTCAGTAGGCCCCAGGGGCAGGGTCAACGCAGCGTCGGAAGATCAAACACTGGACCCCTGCGTCTGCCTAAGCAGGCACTTTAATGTGCTGAGCTATCTGGCCGGCCCTAAGTAACCACTTTAGAGATAACAACACTTAATGTATTAATTATTGTTATTCTATTATTTTGTTATTAAATATTGTTTTACTTTTTTCCATAAAATAAAAAAAAATGAAAGAACACAAAGAAATAGCTTTAGTAGCACACAAATTCAAACACAAGCAAATCCTTTCCCAGGGGCTCCCATATTTCCCAAGGTCCCTGTGGCTGCTCCAGAGTCATGGGCACTCATCTCCCAAATCTCTGTACTGAAAGCCCTCACTGATCCCTGTCTCTCACGGTTGCCCTATCAAGCTGTGGAGTGAGGGCCATGGATTGGTTGGTGCCTCATTTCTTCAGGGCCTAGCATGTGCCACACAGCCTGTTATTCTTCCACTTGTTATTGTATTTAATTTGATCTCCAAGAACCCTGGAAGATCAAGATCAGTAGCTGTAATTTGACAGAGGAGGACATTGATCCACTGAGAGTAACTAACCGTACACAACAAGGACTGATTGCAAGGTGATAGCATGAATCCTTGGTGACTGGGCACCGATATCTTGCAGGGGCATCTTCCTGCATTGTACAGCAGAAACCCTAAGTCCACGCAGGGAAGACCCAGATACAATTCAGCTTATACCAGTGTGATACAGGGGAAGGTTGAGGTTTGTTCTCAAAGGTATTTATATGGCTAGATGGGGTGGTGGCTAAGGCCTTGAGGCTGATTCCTCTGATCTTTTTGCATAGCCTACCTTGTTGCTGGCTGGTAAGAGATAGCAGAAGAACTACTGTGGCAACATAGGGCAGCTTCCTTTCCTCAGCTTTCTGACTGAGGCAGTCATAGTCACCTCACCCCAGAAAGAATGCTCATCATGCAGAAGTTGAATAATAACAAACACTGGCAAAACTGCGGAAGCCAGGGCTCAGGGAAGCCTGCTACACTATGGGTGGGAATAAAAACTAGAACCACCACTATGGAAATCAGCATGAAGCTGGCTCAAAAAACTTAAACTAGAAATTCCATTCACCCAGCTACTCCCCTTTTGGGTGTCTTCTCCAAAAGCGTTTAAGTCACCACATTACAGAGACCCACGCACACCCATGTTAGAGAAGCACAATTCATAATAGCTACATCTTGGAAGCAGCCCCACTGTCCATCAACAGATGAATGAATGAAGAAAATGCAGTGTTTATACATAACGGACTACTACTGTGCCATAAAGAAGGACACATTTGAGTCATTGTAGGAAAGTGGCTGCACTTGAGACCATAATGTTGAGTGAAATAAATCAGACAGAGGCTTAAGTATCACACGGCTTCTCTTACATGAGAAACCCAGAGCAAAAAAAGAATAGGAAGTAGGGAGAGCAATCCGTCTCAAAGGGAGTGGAGATCCAGAGACATATGGAACAGGAGGGAAGGGAAAAATAAGCAATGAAAAAAAAGGAATTGGGAGGTGTCACGTACATGTACCGACCACATATGATTGTAAACGTGGTGTGTCACAATGTGTACAATAAAGTGAAAATGGAAAGGGATGGTGGGTGAAGCGGGTGAAGAGAATGAAAATGCACTCTGTACGTGAACCGCTCCTCACGAGACTTGGAGCCATCAGGTACTGCAAACATGTGCTAATAGAATTTTTTTTCTAATTCAGAGAAAAAAGAAAGCTTGGCCCCCTTGATTGATTTTCTAAGCTATTTATTGGCTACAGTAGGGTGGTCAGCTCGTTCAGGGCTCTGCCAGAAGCCCCCAACTGCCCCACACTGGATGGGCTGGAACTTCTTACAAAGGAGCTGTACACGTCCGTACTCTTGCACAACCCAGAGCCCTCTGTTCTGTGTGTCCTGAGCCACAGGCACCAGTGGCCCACTGTGGCTACTTGTGTCTCCTCACAGT